CTCCCTTGTATCTCGCTGATGGTTTCTCGCAGAATCGACCTCCAAGATTCGAAGGAGTCAACTACGGATATTGGAAGAATCGCATGGAATTGTTCGTCGGGTCTACAGATCCCAAGTTGTGGGCCAGAGTGGTCAAGGGTCCTCATGAACTTAAGGAAGATCAAGAAAAGTGGTCAGATGAAGACTTCGAGAAGTTCCAGCAGAACTGTAAGGCTACAAATTTGATGTATTGTGCTCTGGGTCCAGAGGAGTATCACAAGGTAGCTGGATGCAAGACAGCCAAAGAAATCTGGGACAAATTGCAAGTCACTTATGAAGGTACTTCCCAGGTTAAAACGTCACGAATTAATTCATTGAAGCATCAGTTTGAATTATTCAAAATGGAGGAAGGAAAGTCAATCAGGCAAATGTATGAAAGATTCACCAACATCGTGAATAGCCTGGAGAATCTGGGGAAATCATACGAAAGCCATAGAAGAAGTGGATTCCAAAAGTAACAGCCATAGAAGAAGCCAAGAACCTGGAGACATTGGCTATAGATGAGTTGATCGGGTCTTTAGCTACACATGAAGAGAAACTGAAGAAATCTGGACATGAGAAGGAGATCAGCGAAAAGGGAAAAAGGGGTGTGGCATTCAAAGCAACTAGTCTAGTCGATGAACCCGAAGAACTTGACGAAATGGAAGATGCAGAGCTTGCATTGTTAAGTAAGCAGATAAGCAGACTGCTTAGAATCAGGAGAGAAAAGAAGCAAGGTGGGTATGGGACTAAGCCTAAGGAATTCGAGAAAAATGACAATGTGATAAAAGGTGCACAAGGAAAGACATTCACCAGAAACCAGGGTGAGTCAACTTCTGCAACAAAGGGAGTAAGTTCTACAGGGTGCTTCAAGTGCGGCAGAATGGGGCACATTAAAGCTGAGTGTCCTCAACTCAAAAAGGAGTGAGCCTTAGTGGCCACGTCGAGTTGTAGTGAGGATGAAGATTATGATGAAGATGAAGTAACCATTCATAGATCGTATATGACATTGGCTCAATTGGAGGAAGAAGATGAAGAGCCTGCATCCCCTGTATCCTTGACTCAGGTAAAATCTGTTGAACTTAACCAACTAGGCAAGTCTGAAGATGAATTACTAGTTGAAATTATTAACGATATTCAGATAGAGTTTGAAAATGTTAAAACCAAATACAGTAAACTTAAGAGGCAAAATGAAGTTAATCTCGAAAGATTAACAGAATTAAAGAATGAATTAGAATCTAGCAAACTCAGAGAAGATCTGCTTAAGGATAAGTTACAGTTAACAGAAGAAGAAAAGGTTGCTCTTCAAAAAGAATGTGTAGATCCTAAGAGGAAAATACAAGAAAACAGCAGTCATCTTAAAACTCATAAGATGGGCATAAATCTTGAGTCAGTTAAATGCTATTATTGTCACATGTATGGTCACAAAGTCAAGGTGTGTAGGAAAAGACTTAGGGCAGAAGCTCTAAAAAATAAGAATTCTGTTAAGTTTCATTGGCCTACTAAACAAGTCTGGGTGGTAAAGTCAGAACCAGAAAGAAAGAATTGGGCTGCACCTGCATGTGATCATTCTAACCAATGTCATAATTCTGGAATCGCAAATGCACCCAAGAAAGTCTGGGTTAGCAAAACAAAACGAATTTTGTGCTTGCAGAGTTGCCTTCGATTGAGCACGGAGGTGACTAAATGGATCATGGATAGCGGGTGCTCACATTATATGACAGGTAACAAACTTCTGTTCTCAACTCTTAAGTTAGGTAATTTTGGTAGAGTTTACTTTGGTGATAATAATTCTGCCGAAATAGTTGGTAAAGGACAAGTGGGAATTAGTCCCTGCATCAGAAACGTGATGTTAGTAGAAGGCTTAAAACATAATCTCATATCCATAAGCCAAATGTGTGGAAAGGATTGTTGTGTGATTTTTGAGTCAAACTGTTGCTATGTGGAAAATATTAAGAGCAGACAAATTCTTTTCACAAGAAAAAAAGCGGGAAAATTTATACCATAGATTTGAACGATAAGAGTAGCTTCAATGAATTGTGTCTAGTTAGTATGGAAGCCAGTGAGCAACAAGAGTGGCACAGGCGACTTGGCCATGTTAAAGTTGCGGTTCTATCCAAATTGGTTAGAATGAATCTAGTGAAGGGCCTACCAAGAATTAATGAGAAGAAGGATTTCTTCTGTGATGCTTGTGCTCAAGGAAAACAAACTAATTCAAGTTTTAAAAGTAAACCGGTCATTTCCACGTCTAGAATTCTAGAACTACTGCATCTTGACTTGTTTGGCCCTGCTAATGTGGTTAGTTATGGTGGGAAGTCCTATGCCTTTGTTATTGTAGACGATTACTCGAGGTTTACATGGGTGTTGTTTCTAGCTAAGAAAGATGAAGCTTTTGAAAACTTTAAAACTCTTTTAAAAAAGTTGAAAATGAAAAATTAAGCAAGGTGGCCAGTATTAGGAGTGATCATGGAGGGGAATTCTGTTCAAAAATGTTCGAGAATTTCTGTAATGATTCAGGAATCTCTCATAATTTCTCTGCTCCTAGGACTCCGCAACAAAATGGAGTAGTGGAAAGTAAAAATAGAACCTTAATCAACACTTGCACGCACTATGCTCCATGATTACAACCTGCCCAAGTATTTTTGGGCAGAAGCAGTTAATACAGCGTGTTATATAACAAACCGAGCTCTAATCAGATCAAGTTTGAATAAAACACCTTAAGAAATCTGGAAGGGAAGAAAGCCTAACCTAGGATATCTTCACCCGTTTGGATGCAAGTGTTATGCTTTAAATACCAAGGACAACTTAGGGAAATTTGATGCAAGATCTGATGAGTCAGTATTTCTGGGATACTCAAACACCAGTAAGGCATATAGAATCTTTAACAAGCGGACCCTCAAGGTTGAGGAGTCCGCCAATGTGATATTTGATGAGGGTGTTATTGAGTGTACAGATATATGGGATGAGGATGATTTTGGTCTTGGAAGGAGAATCACGCAGAACAAGTCAGAATCAACTGAAGAGTCTCAAGCCAAAGACACAGAGTAGTCTTCCTCTACAAGAGAGGAACCAATTTCGGAGTTGTCAAAGGAAATAGAGACTAACAAGGAAAATAGATCAGAAGAAATGTCTGTGTAACCTCCTCCACACATAGTCAAGCGACATCCTCCTAGTCTGATTATTGGAGGACTAGATCAAGGTATGACTACTCGTTCCAGAACTTTGCCCTCCTTAGCTGCGTTTGTTTCTTTAATAGAACCAAAAAATGTAGAAGAAGCTCTCCAGGATGAATTCTGGACAACTTCTATGTTTGAGGAAATGAACCAGTTCGAACGTGCAAATGTGTGGGAATTGGTCCCTAAACCTGAAAATAGAGTAATAATAGGCACTAAATGGATTTATAAAAACAAGTCAGATGAGATAGAGACTGTGGTTAGAAACAAATCTTGGTTGGTAGCTCAAGGTTACTGTCAGGAAGAGGTAATAGACTTTGAGGAAACCTTTGCTCCAGTTGCAAGACTAGAAGCAATTCGTATGTTGTGTGCTTTTGCTAGTTCTAAAGGATACAAATTGTTTCAAATGGATGTAAAAAGCGCCTTTTTAAATGGTGATTTAAAAGAAGAGGTCTATGTGTCTCAACCTCCAGGTTTTGAAAATCACAATTTCCCAAACCATGTGTATAAGCTAAAGAAGGCATTATATGGATTAAAACAGGCCCCCAGAGCTTAGTATGATAAACTTAGCTCGTTTCTTCTTGAAAATAGGTTTAGGAGAGGGAAAGTAGACAAAACTCTTTTCATTAAGCATGAACAAGAACATATTTTGTTAGTGCAAGTGTATGTGGACGATATCATTTTTGGGTCTACATGTGAAACTCTCTGCAAGGATTTTGAAATAAAGATGAAGAGTGCTTTTGAGATGAGTCTAATGGGGGAACTGAATTACTTTCTTGGACTGCAAATTAAACAAACCTCTGCTGGAATTTTTATTTTTCAAACCAAGTACCTTCAGAACATGTTGAAACGTTTTGATTTTGGAAACTTAAAGTCTGCCATAACCCCCATGGCATCTAACACTAAACTTGATAAGGATGAATCAGGAATAACAATAAATGATAAACTTTTCAGAGGAATGATAGGCTCTTTGTTATATTTAACCGCTAGTCGGCCTGGCATTATGTACAGTGTGTGTGTGTCTGTGCTCGATTTCAGAGTTCTCCTAAACAGAGTCACCTAAGTGCAGTCAAACGCATTTTTAGATACTTAAGTGGGTGTCCAAATCTAGGATTATGGTATTCTCGTGACTCCGGTCTAGAACTGTTAGGTTATTCGGATGCTGATTATGCTGGGTGTATGGTTGATCGGAAGAGTACCTCAGGAACATGTCAGTTTCTGGGTACTTCATTGGTTTCTTGGTTTAGTAAGAAACAAAATTCTGTCGCGTTGTCTACAACCGAGGCTGAGTACATTGCAGCAGGGTGCTGCTGTACTCAAATCCTCTGGTTGAAGCATCAGTTGGAGGATTTCGGTTTGTCTCCTGGTTCTGTATCATTTATGTGTGACAACACAAGCTCAATTAATATGACTAAGAATCCAGTCCAACATTCTCGAACCAAACATATTGATGTTCGTTATCATTTCATTCATGAACTAGTGGAAGAAGGTCAAATAGGACTAGAATTTGTTCCTACCTCATGTCAATGGGCTGAATTTTTACAAAGCCCTTGGGCTCTGAACCCTTCATTCGCATTCGTCGAGAGTTAGGGTTATTTGCCTTAACAGATATTGTTGAATTGTCTGCTCAGCCCGAAAGATCCTCTTAACTATTGATCTGAGTTTCCTTTTCTGATCTTATTCCCCATTATTTGAGGGATACCTATTCTTCCGGACCAAGACTTTTCACTTTTCTGTCCTGTCTCATTTCCTACCATAACTCATTCTCGGTCTCTCTATAAAGAGTTACAGTAGAAATCCTTTTCTCATCACTCAAATACCTTCAAAACTCTCATATCCTTAGCTATCATGACTGCTCAACATGTGGCCTCCCTACGATTGGCTCAAGCCGCCATTTACAATGGCAAAGGGTTTGAGGACGCAGCAGGATATGCTCGTTATCTGCTCCAATTCCAGGATCGCCCTCTGCACTCTTCCATCACCCTTGATCCATCTAGATTCAACAGATATGGGATGGATATTCCACGTCTGATTAATTCTCTTGGCTGGAGTGACATCCTTCCTAATCGAAACTTTGGGTTTCGTCCTGAGGCTGTTAGGATGTTCTATGCAAACATGAAGCCTTGCCTTCATATCTCTTCCCCCTGTTTCACAATGATAGTGTATAATTTCTTAATCACTATCAAATTGTTGTCCCTTTTGCTTGGGATTCCCATTACTGGAGCAGAAGTCATGAATGAGTCGGATTTCCACTCTGCTGAATTCAATGAGGGAGATGCTCTGCGTCTGTATACCCGCGACACTGGTCGCTACTATCCCTCAGAATTTCACTCTGGCAGACTTCCTGATGATCTCAAGGTGCTACATTTCTATATTTCTCGACTCTTTCTGCCTAGATCTTTCGGGCTCAATAATATCTATCCCTCAGATCTATGGATCCTTGCTAGTGCCAAGGAGAATCGTGTTATCAGTTATCCTCATCTAATGTTCGATCATATGCTGAACTATCATGCCGACAATTATGATGCGGAGTTGCCCTTTGCTCCGCAAATTACTCAGATCCTGCTAGCCTTAGGCATAGACTTACATTTCAAGGTGGCTCGTGTGGATGTTCTTAGCTCCCTTCGAGCTCAGTTCATTCTCCGTAAGGTGGATGCATCTGTAAGCCGTCGTCGCCCTCTGGTCAATGCTCCAGGGGGAGGAACAGCTGCTACTGGAGTTCATCATGAGGATGGACTCAGCTTGTCAGATCTAGGTGGAGATGAAGCTGAGGAAGAACCTGTTATGGCAGATATGCTCGGAGCTGTCAGGGATAAGGGCAAGCGACCTCTGGAGGACCCGTTGGAAGCAATCCAAGCCATGTTCAGACAGGAGGAAGCAAGCTGCAGCAGGAGGAATCTGATGATGGAGGATGAAGGTGGCATATCAGATTATGTGTCCTCTCCTGAGTTTCTATTTTAGGGGGAGTTGAGGCTAATCTTAGGGGGAGTTAGGAACTGGTTTGAGTTAAGGTTTAGGTTGGTAGTCTTGACCTTAGAGTCGGCAGTATCAATGTTGAATAAAGCTCTATCAGAGCTCATGTCAGTCTGTATGTTGAGTCTATGTCTGATTGTTTGAGTTTATGTCTAATTGTCTTAAGTGTCAGCTCTCAGAGTTTAATAAAATGTCAACTGTTACGTCTCATCTTACTGGATGTATCTTGGCAAAATGGTTAGAGCAGTCTGCACATAACAGTTTGTTGAAATGTGTGCAGGAACTCCATAAGCAGCTGAAGGGATCATTGACTGGCTTTAGGGGGAGATTGTTGACAAGTAAGCCAGTCATTAATCTCAGAATCAAGAGAAGGAAATTGTGGGTCTGCCGAATCCATCAGAGGAAGGAAATTGCGGGTCTGGTGAATCTGCCTTGGAAAGAATCGTTAGTGATTGCGTGGAATGGAAGTTTTGATTAGATGAGCAATTCAGGAAAGAATTCAAAGGAAGGAGACCTACCTAACTTGAGCTGCAACGGCTAGTCACTTAGGATTACAAAAAGCTTCGTTCAGAATTGAAGAGGGGCAACTTTTCCAAGAGATCAAGACACACGAGAGAAGCTAAGGAGATAGCTAGTGTGATTGATACTGAAAAGTATCTTTAGCATTGATTCTGGAGAGAAACTCTGTTAGTGAGAAAGTGTTGGAAAACACAGAAGCTGGATAGCTTGGTGGCTGGGAAATAGCTGGTAGTGAGTAGATTAATCGTCCAGGATTGGATTGGTTAATCTGGATTAAACTTGTAAACGAAACAAGAGCAACATATTGAGTGAATCGTCGAAAATCACAAACTGTGATTCTTCGATCCGTGGAATAGTTAGTATTGGGATCCTCATTATCCCAATACTGGAAACCACGTAAAAATCGAGTATGTGTCATTGATTTTTACATTATACCCTCTGTTCTTTCGACCTCACTCTGTTCTGCAGGATCAGGGAACTTCTCCTGCACACGAAAGTCAGCTTGAGACGAATCGAAGAAGAAGAAGCTAAACGTGAAAGGTAAAACGGGTCGTTTTATTACAATACGTTGAGTACAGACTTTACGAACATAAGGCCTTATTTATCAAGTCCAAAACGACGTCCCGAGTTCCGTTTTCACATCCTCTTCTTCAGTAGTTTTGTGTTTCACATTCGCTCAGAAAATCAGTTCTTCCCAAAACACACTTGATCTTGTCGAAAGGTATTTCTAGGGTTTGCAGGAGCTAGGTCGATCTCGTCTTGAAGCAGGCATCTGGCGCTCGACGCCAGCAACAAAGTGGACAAGGGATTCTGAATAGAGAACTGAGACGGTGAATACCCATATAGAGCCTCAAATGGAGAAATCTGAAGACTGCTATGGAAATTGGTGTTATACCATTATTCCGCAAGAGTCACCCAAGAAGCCCATTGATGTGGACACAAATGAACCATCCCCCTAAGATACTACTCCAAATAACGATTTAGCATTTCTGTTTTCCCACCCGTTTGTGGGTGATAGGCAGTAGAATAGTGTAACTTCACCTCTTGTAACTCAAAGAGTTTAGACCAAAATGAACTGATGAATATTGAATCCCTGTCTGATACAATAGTAATAGGCATCCCATGTAATCTGAACACTCCATCAAAGAAAGTTTAAGCTACTGTTATTGTTGTATAGGGTTTTGTTAAGCCAAAGAAATGGCCATACTTGGAAAAACGATCCACCACTACCAACACTGCATCCTTACTATGAGAACTTGGAAAACCTTCAATAAAATCCATGGATATATGCTTCCAAGCCTGGTCAGGTATAGACAAGGGTTGTAGCAGACCAGGATAGGGTATATTTTCCACTTTGCATTTCTGACACACCTCATAGTGTTGTATATAAACCTTCAAATCAGCCTTAATTCCAGGCCACTAGAAATACTTATTAATCCTTTAATAAGTCACCTGCAAGCCAGAGTGTCCTCCAATTGTGGAATCATGCAACAGATGTAGCAGCTATTTCCTCATGGTACCAGTAAGCCCCACATAGATATCAGACTTGTGGTAAAGTAAACCCTGATTAATCTAGTAAAGCTTGGGACCAATAAACGAAACTGAAGCCTGCATAAAAAGCAATTGTACATAATGATCTCCTGCATACGCAGACGACATAATGTCAACAGGGAAGACTTCACCGCGGACACTGTCGAACAATGGCATCACTGATAGTGGAACAACATCAACTGAAGAAGCAACTATAGGGTTTCGTTTTGGCACTTTCAACCAGAACCAGCTGCAATATGAGATATTTGTTTTCGGTAATCCTTATTACCTTAACCCAAATGAAAACATGTCTCAGTCTCTGGTTGCTGAGCCATTTGATGGAACCAATATCTAATGTGGAGTAGATATATGCAAGTTGTTTTGAAAATGAAGAACAAGGTTGGGTTTATAGATGGGTCGATTCCAGTGCCTCCTAGAGATTCAGATCTCTTTGGTTTATTGGATGCTTGTAATACAGTGGTTTTGTTGGATTCAAATCTCCATGACCAAATAACTTAGGAGATCTATTTTGAATCACAACAATTCTAAGACACTTTATGATGAGTTAAAGAGGCGCTTTGGTCAACCCAATGCGATGAGGATTATGAATCTAGAGGATGAAATCCAGGCCTGTAAGCAGGGATCTCGGTCCATTACACAGTATTACACTGCTATTAAGAGACTCTGGGATGAATATGTTGAATTTATCCCTATTACACCTTGTAATTGTGCACCTAGAAACCCAGTTCCTTGTGCAGTTGTTGCTGCTTTTGTGCAGAAGCAAGAGACGGACTATCTTATAAGCTTCTTGAGAGGTCTTAACCCAGATTACGAAGTCATTAAGACCCAACTGCTGATGCAAAAAACCCTTCCATCAGTGTCCTCTGATGTAGATGATCTGCTTCGGCATGAGCAGAAACTGAAAGCAGACACAATTGGAGGTAATAGGAAGGGACAAAGTTTGGCCTTACCAGTGGGTGGCAATAGTTCTAAGGACAACACAGAGTCATGAGGCAAGAAGTTCTGTCAATTTTTCAAGATGAACAATCATAACATTGAAGACTGTTGGAAGCTTAAAAGGAAACAGGAGATGCAGAAGGAAGGGGGCCCTAATGGAGGATCAAATTCCAGTTCTAGTTCTAATTCTAGCACACCACGGTTTGCTGGCTCCATCTCTCAAGGAAGTGTAAATGACAGTGCCTCAGAAGGGAGTGTGGCTAATGAGGGTAAGAGTTCAGCTTCTCTTGCATTAACCCTTGAAGAGATGAATCGTCTCAGGTACCTCTTGCAGGCTGGTACTAATACACAACCATCTCCACCTTCCTCTCCATCTCTTAACCATCAAGCCTATTCAGCTACTCATCAACCTACTACCTTCCCCAACTTCTCAGGTAAACATGTCATGTCTTCCTCTCCAAGTTCGAAAACCAATAACCCTCACTTATGGATTGTAGACACAAGAGCCTCTGACCATATAACATGCAGTCTTAATCTCTTTTCTAGCTCAAAACCAGTACAGGACTCGTTTGTCTATATCCCAAATAGCTCAAGAGTTGTTGATACACGTATAGGGACAGTTCAACTAGCTTGTGGTTTAACCCTGCATGATGTTCTCTTTGTCACAAACTTTTCTTTCAATCTCATCTCTGTCAGTAAGCTTACACATGATTACCCTTTTTCCGTAGATTTTCATTCTAAAAAATGTGAAATCTAGGACCTACTAAAGGTCTCTGCCATCTAGCCCTACCTTCAAGCTTCACCAAGCCTTCCATCACTAATCACCAACACCAAGTTGGCTTCACCTTCAACTTCCAACCCCACGACCTGAACCTGTGGCACTAGAGGCTAGGACTTCCTAGTCATGATAGGCTTTCTTTGCTTAGTTCTGTAATCCCTTCTATTTCCAGACCTAAGACTTTTCACTGTGATGTATGTCATTTGTCTAAACAAAGAAAACAACCATTTCCTATTAGCACCAGTGTTGCACCAGAGACTTTTCATTTAGTGCATATGGATATTTGGGGTCCATTGTCTACTATTTCGTATAATGGTTATTCATATTTCCTTACCATTGTGGATGATCATTCAAGAAGTGTGTGGGTGTGTTTGATGAGGCATAAGAGTGAAGTAAGAGGGCTGATTGAGGGTTTCTGCAGTCTGGTGAAGAATCAGTTCAATACCACTTTGAAAATCATTAGAACTTATCAAAGGTAAGGAGTTTGAAATGCGTGAGATTTTCAAAACAAAAGGGATTGAGCATCAAGTTTCATGTGTTGAGACTCCAGAACAAAATGGCATGGCTGGGAGAAAGCATCAGCACATTCTAAATGTTGCAATATGTCTAAAATTTCAATCAGGTCTCCCTCTCACCTACTGGAGTGATTTTATTCTTCATGCGGTTTGTCTAATCAATCGGATTCCTACCCCTATATTAGGAAACATAACCCCTTATAAACTTCTTTACAAGCAAGTGCCATTTCTTGGGAACTTGAAAGTGTTTGGTTGTTTATGTTATGCCAACACACTACCCCATGGTACAACCAAATTTGCTCAAAGAGCTAGGAAGTGTGTATTCATAGGTATACCTGCAGGACTCAAAGGCAATAAATTCCTAGATATACATGACAGGAAAGTCTTTTTCTCTAGGGATGTCGCATTCTATGAGAGAATTCTACCTTTCAAAAACTCAACTACTTCTCTACCCTCTACATCTACTTCCACTCCACCTGTCCCACCTGTTGCACCCATGCCAGCACCTCCACTTCATGTTCCCTTCTCTGTCTCACCACCTGGTCCACATCCTGTCTCTCCTCTTGCTCAGTTCCATTCATCCAGTGATGAAGGGGGGGGGGGCACACTGAGCCTGAGGTGCTAACTGTGCCAGTTTCCACTAATGGCAAAGATCATTACACATACTATGATGCTGATGAACAAGAACTTCACCCCCAAGCTGACATTGATCCATATAACCCTGATACACTTGAAACCAGGAAGAATTCAAGACAAATCAACCTGCCTACCAAATACAAGGATTTCCAGTTAGATCCCACACTCAAGTTTGGTGCTTTTGGAAGTAGCCAAGCATGCAACAAACATCCAGTCCATTTGAATGTCCATTCATTGAGCAAAGAAGATTAGTGTAATGCTCTTAATGT